ACGGACAAATGCTAACTACCAAAAGAAAAACTTTGATAGCAAACGTACAAAGGCTAAGCAGTACAACGAAGGAGACCTAGTACTGCTAAAATCCAAAGTCAGACAAATGATGGATGCAGCAAAAAGCTATTACCTACTTTTAAAGGCCCTTTTCAAATAAAAAAATGCCTTGGTCAAGACAGATACGAAGTCCAAGACTTGAGAGGTAGCGAAAGATCTAACAGAACCTATAAAGGAGTGGCCGCTGCAGAAAATTTAAAACCATGGATTAAAATTCATGATTGGCACGCTGAATAAATAGTAAAAACGAGGGGCGTGTTGGCAAGGTAAAGGTACCAATTTATATTTTATATATTGAAACATTGCCCAAAATAATTATAAAGATTATTTATTATTTAAAATAATTATGAAATGTTCTTATAAATATCTTTATTACACGTGTAGTAAATCGCAGTTATCTAAAAAAGCTAACCCAGTCACCCTAGTACGACAGAAGTGAACTGGCAGTCGTTTTCCTAGGACCAAAGGAATGAACTGAAAACAGTCACATGAATTAAAGGGCGTGAACTGATAAAGTTAGTCGTGGAGGTAGTCTTAAACGAAAAGTGGTTTGAATTAAGCCACCAAAGCTCTGGTTTTCTTAAGAGTAAAAAGTAATTTGGGTAATTTAACAATGGGTCACATTTTAATGCTTAAATATGTGTGTTTCAGGTGTTCGAGGTGTGTGGTGTATGTGTGCCTGAGGGCAGGCACAATGCAGGAGGGCCGTGTTGGCAACATCGCGACAATAGTGTGAAGTTGCCGCGTAAGATTAACAACACGATAGGCGAGTGAAGTTGCTGACTCTGGGGAAGCAAGAAATAAACCGGAGAGTAACACTTTCGTTTCGACTGCCGAACGCGTTGGTGGTCTCAAGACTCGTAAAGCCATAATTATTGTATAGTGATTAGTAATACTTACCTTGTTCTATTAAATACTTATACGTAGAGTCAGTGTCTAATTACTACCTGTTACCTAAATAAAATTAAAAGTCTACAATGTAGATTTTAACAAACATTATTTACATCATACAAGGCATTAAAAACCGCATTGTTTTATTTTGGCCATAGACCATTATTTACCTCGGGCACGAATCAGAGTCCAAACAATTTTTATAGCTTGCCTTTTTTACCTATTTTTGCTTTTATATTCATTCAGATAGGCTATAAAATACAGATAGTAGAACTATTTTTGATCAAAAACTATATGAACTGAGCATAAACTGTTTTTTTTTTTCAGAATGCCTCGCAACTACGTACCAAAACCAGGTGCTAAACGCTACAAAAAATACGATCATCAAGTAATAAAACAAGCCCTAGACGAGATAGATTTGACCAATAATAGCCTAAGTGCTGTAGCTGAAAAATATAACATAGCAAAATCGGTACTATGCCGTCATAAAAACCGAGAAATGAAACCTCACGGTAGGCCAACAGCACTAACCAAAGATGAAGAGCTATATTTAGTAGAACATTTAAATACTTGCGGCGATTGGGGTTACCCATTAGATACAACAGACCTTAGATATATAATAAAAATGTATCTAGACTCAATGAATATTAGGCACAAAATATTCAAAAATAACATGCCCGGTATAGACTATGTTAATGGGTTCATGAAAAGACATGCAAATAAATTATCCAAAAGAATATGTCAGAATATACCTTTTGAGCGCCACGCCAAAAACTCACTACCGTGTCCTGTAAAACTCACTACCGTGTCCTGTACGCCAAAGCGAAAAGTAAACAAAAATACCTACGAAAAAAACAGTGCTGCCAGGAGCTGATATATCGATAACACAAAATAACTGGTTTTTGTTGGTTTTTTATACAATAAATGACTCTTTATAATCGGGTATGTTTTATTTAATCTTGTGCTGTCTTCCACTCTTTTTATATATGTACTTTGTACATAAATAAAAAACAAACAATAACAATAAAATAGTAGTAATCCACAAACTAGACGAGTGGACGACAACGGCGTAGCTGACCTTTCTTTTTGAAACTTTCTTAGAGATGTAGCCGTGTCGCACGTTGTGTATCGATTTCAAAATCGATCTAACCAAAATATACAGACATCGATTCAAAATATTTTATGGCGAGGCGTAGGCCAAGTGAATCACAGAAGAAAAGTCACTCTCTTATTACTATGGGGGTTTCATATGATGCTGATGTTGCTAAATGATTTTGAGATTGAGAAAGAAAATCGCACAACACAAAATGAAAAATTGCTCTTCATACCTTAAGTAAAAAAAAACACATTTATTATTTGTAATTTTATATTATTAAAATAAAAAAGGTACATAATTATTCACTAATCAACAATTGTATATAGGTAATTATTCGCACTAGGAAAATCAGTCTTATAATATTAAAATCTTGGTCATGGATTAAAAAATCAGTAATTATAAAAATCAACAAATGGTACATAGTTATCCACCAATCAACAATAGTATATAATTATTCGCACTAGGAAAATCGGTCTTACAATAATAAAATCTTGGTCATGGAATAAAAATCAGTAATTATTATAAAAATCAACAAATGGTACATAATTATCCACCAATCAACAATTGTATATAATTATTCGCACTAGAAAAATCAGTCTTATAATATTAAAATCTTGGTCTTAATGACTTATTACAGAAATCAACAAATGGTACATAATTATTCACTAATCAACAATTGTATATAATTATTTGCACTAGGTCTAGTCTTAAAATATTAAAATCTTGGTCTTTAACTCAATCAGTACTTAATATAGAAAACAACAATTAAAATTAATTAATAAATTATAGGTAATATTAGCCTTAAAATAATAAAAATCTTATGGAATAATAAAACATAAATGTTTAGCTGGTCAAAGCAAATTTTAACGTGGTAGAGCCACGCTGTAGTTATATTACGGGAGAGTAGTTGTAGCACGAATGGGTCGGCTCAATCGGGGAAGAACCACGCTCTCACGGAATACCGGCGTCAAATAGTAGCTTAATGCTGCTGTGTTTCGTATGGTAAGTGTAGAGAACCGGAGACCCTCTTTACTGGAAACGAGGTATTCCATCTTAGTCCTCACGGGTGAGAGCGCATCTGCATTTTGATTCGTAATCGAGGATAGTAATTTATATTCTTAAAGCCTTGAAAGCCTTTGATTACTGTAAGACGCGAGTGTTAGTAACAAAAAAAGAACGTCGCCGCCGAGAACAAAAGAGCAATTTAGTATTAAGTAGACACGCTATTTTAGATCTTAATGTTTTACCATTACATTGATTTTTAGTCTACTCACAATACTATTCGAAACTATTGTAATGCCGAAAGGTAGAAAATCGATATACTATTTTGTACCTTAATGCTTTTTCATTAGGTTGATTTATGATTTATGGTCTACTCACGGTACCTACTTTTCGGAAGGATTATTGTGAAATATGGTTTAAGATATTTATTTCGCTAAACAATATTACCATTAGCTTTTTGACAAAAAAAATATCTACTAGTTGCAGTATAAAAGTAAACGAACATGATGAGTTATTCTAAACTCGAAAACAAAAACATAAAAAATGTGCTCACAAGAGTCGCCCGGGAAACAGTTTCATTTTGTATCGAACTTATTATATTTAAAATTAAACAAAATATTATAAAATAATAGATACATAAAGTAGGCAATATGCATGTTAGTAAAATAAGTTTAATTAATTAGGAACTTAAGACACTTACCTCACTTAAATCTTCAGGTAATGATTCAGATTCCGAAAATTCATCATCGTCGACGCTTTCCAAAATCCGAATGAGTTCTGAGGAATCGTTCATGTTGCACTGCACTAATTTTCCCGCTACTTGACCACGGCGCCCAGTGAACTGATTTTCGATGTCGCGCTAAGGATGCGCCAGAGTTGAGATATTAGATTTATTATGCGAAGATAATTTGATAATTTTTTTTAATTCATGTAGCTAATTATAGTTTTATATTTCTAACCTTTTGTTTTATTTAATTTTTATATCAATAATAATAGACAAAAAAAACACGTTTGAGCTTAATTTTGAATAGTTTTCAATAAATTTATACCTTACGCATTACAACACTAGCGGTCACACATAGACGACTTGCCTGATAGTATTTGCTTAGATAAAAATCCATTTTTTTTTAGTTCAATGTTTCTTAGTACTTGTGGCTCTAGGAGACTTGTTTTTTATACTCACATGTTGCTGGGTTATTCGTTTTTGAGGGGTGTAGAATTAAAATACCAGTAATAATTTTCCAATGTCTATATTTCATATTTTTGTGGGCCGGGTTTTTTGTCAACTATAGACGTCGTTGGCGCTCAGGGCCCACGGGGAAAGGTTAAAAGAGCTAGGGCGGCAGTGTCTTCAGACATAATAAAAGAATATTTTGGCGAATTGGCAAAGTCTTTGGAGAACGTCCCGACCCAAAATATAATCAATTATGATGAGACGAACCTGACAGATGATCCTGGTCGCAAGAAGGTGATAGTAAGACGAGGATGCAAGTATCCAGAGCGTATAGTCAATCACTCTAAAGGGTCAATATCTTTGATGATGTCAGCCACAGCAGATCATTTATATGATTCATGGACGATGAGGGGGCCTCATAATGCAAGATTTAACAGGTCTTCATCCGGCTGGTTCGATGGTGATACTTTTGAAGATTGGGTTAAAACAATAGTTATACCATTTTGGTAAAAGAAAGAGGGTAAGAAAATTTTGATAGGAGACAATTTGTCCTCACATTTGTCTGTTGATGTTATAAAACTATGCCAGGAAAAAGATATTCACTTTATTTTTCTGCCCGCGAATTCAACGCACCTTACACAGCCCCTAGACGTTGCAGTTTTTAGACCCATGAAGATAATTTGGCGTCACTTATTAAACAAGTGGAGAAAAACTGACGATGGGAGAACCCAATCATGTGTTCCAAAGGGTTGTTTTCCATTTCTGTTAAAAGTACTAATGGATGAGCTAAGTGTGAACGCTGAAAAAAATATTAAAGCCGGGTTTAGAAAATGTGGGATTGTTCCATTAGATGCTAACCAAGTTATAGCAAGGCTTCCTCTGCAAGAAGAGGATGAAGAGGTAAAGAAAAAAGCTATGAATGATAGCGTCTTATCACTGTTAAAAGAAATGCGCTATGGATCCATGAATATTAGAGAACCCCAAAAGAAGAGAAAATTGGATGTGGTGGCAGGAAAAAGTGTAAGTGCTGAGGAATTAGAAAGGAATGAAGATCGGGAACCTTTGAAACCAAAAAAGAAAAGAACACTAAAGCAAACAAATAAATCAACTCCAAAAGGGAAGGGTGTGGGCAAAAAAACAAAATCAAAAATTTGCAACTTACAGATAGACAACGGTGAAAACAGAAATTGCGATATCAAAATATGCGGTGAAAGCAAAGAGGTAAATGACGATAATATATTTGAGGTACCGGTTGGATTACACGATCCTGATGTAGTGATTCCTGAACCTTTTGATTTTTCCATTAAAGAAATGCCAATAATTTTTGCTGAAAATTTCGATTTTTTTTTTATAGGATAGGGTGACAAACGAGCACACAGTCCACCTGATGGTAAGTGGTTGCTGCGGCCCATAGACATCTACATCTATCCTCGATTACGAATCAAAATGCAGATGCGTTGTCATCCGTGAGGACTTAGATGGAATGCCTCGTTTCCAGTAAAAAGGGTCTCCGGTTCTCTACACTCACCATACGAAATACAGCAGCATTAAGCTACTATTTCACGCTGGTATTCTGTGAGAGCGTGGTCCTTCCCCGGTCGAGCCGACCCATTCGTGCTACAACTAATACTACTAATATAATTGAAGCATGGCTCTACCACGTTACAATTTTTTTGATTGCCAAGAAATTGATTTGAGAACTTTTGATGAAGACCAAAAGAACCAAAACACAAGTAAACAAGATTATGGAAAAGAAAATAAAAATATTCAAACAAAAAACACACAGAAGCCTAAAATTCAAATTATATCGTATATAAAACTTAAATTGCCATTGCCTATGAAGAGAATAAACAGTAATTATACTTACACAATAACGGAAAAAGTAAGTCAACCCGTACAAAGAAAGAAAGAAGTCTGAATTTTTACAAAGACGAGGAAGAAATTTTGAAAATTTTAGAAGAATAATTTTATTACCCAAACTGGAAATGATTACTGCAATTAAAAATAATTTTTACCTTGATTTGAAAGGACAATATTTTATTTTTTTGTTACCTACCGGATTATTTTTTATTAAAATATTTGATAGGTACCTACTAAGCTAAACGTTTAATAGTTTGTTACCTACCTGCAAGTGAATTCAAAGTGGAGACTATAAACATATACGAATAGCAAGCAATGCAAGCTCAATGTAATATTTTTCTTGTTAGGTACCTAATAAACGATTTTAAACACATTAAAAAGGTTTTTTTTTTCAAATTAGTTAGGGGCCTATCTACCTACCTATTTACTAACTTTAGATAGATAGACAGCCCTAGTTAAAATTCCTATTAACATCTCTCTTAAACCACTTATCCCCGTCAGGGGTAAATTGGAATCCAATAGGGTTTTTGTTGAATTTCTCAAAATATCTAATCTAAAATAAGAATCTAAGCTATACCTAACATCTAAAAGAGCTTACCATGCATCCTTCAGTATACCTTGAAATACCCTAAGCGTTACGGAAGATGGTTTAAATTAAAGTTGAAAGTGAAGATTGGACCAATTTACCCCGTTTTACGGTATACAGTTGTGTTTTTCTTGCGCCCCCCTGATGTTGATAGAATTTTTGTTTAGGAATTAACCCCTCGTATGCCGGGCGACAATGCGCACCGAAGGCGCTGTTTGCCGCGGAAAATAGTATGCGCGTGGCAGTCCGTGTTAATATTTCAAAAATATATTTTAAAGTAACAACGTAACTTACATAGTTTTTTGTTATTATTCCATATAAATTGATACTTTAACTTTATTTCATTGTAGTTTACAACAAAAAATTATGAGTTATTTATTATTTATGAATGGTTTTTTTCGGCATGAAGAAAGTATCAAATAATAAACAGTTACAATAAAATTAAATTAATTTTATTTTTTCCTTTTCTAAAGCACATGAATTATAACACATAAAATATAGAATAAACATGGTTTTAAAAAATGTGGTTTGAAAGTAGTCATCACTATCAATTGAACGTAGATATACGTTCCGGCGTAAGGATAAATAGCGCATATCTACGTTCCAGCCTATAACATACAGGATGTTTCATTTTTCGTTCCATATCAACTGTTAATTTTGACTTGACCTGACAGACCGCAACTAACGTTGTTGTTGTTGTTGTCATAGGAAATAAAATTGTGTTACGTTATATGTTTATTTTAACACATGATATAATAATAATAATAATAATAATAATTCTTTATTTAAATCACAAGGTATTTTAACATAAATAAGTGGCTAGAGCCTCCCTTTAAGCACAGAGCGCCTGTAGTAGGAGGCTCCGCTCTTCCACAACTTCACAAACAAAATCTTATGAAATACTTTTAGACAACTAATATAAAAACGTGCATGCTTGTGTGGTGTGTGTGTGTGTGTGTGTGTGTGTGTGTGTGTGTGTGTGTGTGTGTGTGTGTGTGCGTGTGTGTGTGTGTGTGTGTGTGTGTGTATGTGTGTGCGTGCGTGAGTGCAAGCGTGCGTGCGTGTGTGTGTGCGTGCTGTACTTATTTGAGTATTCATATGAGCGACTTTTCAAGGAGAGACTCAATTTCCTCATAATCAAGTGGTTGTAGATACTTTTTTACTGCATTTTTACATTCGTAATGGGTCATTGTGTAAATTCCTACATGTTTATTAATTTTGTTGTATAATTCTGCTGCGCGTTTACTATACTGAACTCTAGCAAAAAACGTGTGAGTATTGGGAACTTGTGCTACTAATTCTTTTCTCCTCTTTTGTAAAATATTTGGATTAAAAGATAGGGACTTATGTTTCTTTAATATTGTGTGCAGTACATAAATTTTTCGTACTGATAATAACTGTGTTTCATTGTAAAGACTTGTAGTAGGATATCTTCTGTTTTTAAAATACATATTTTTAATTAAACCACGTTGCGCACGTTCCAAGTGGATAAATTTTGTTTTGCAAGCACCCCCCCATATAGATATACAGTACCCCAAAACGGATTGTACCAAAGCTGTGTATATATCGTTTAATAATTTGTTTTGCATAAGTTCAGTGGACGCTTTTCTTGGCACCACATATCTTAAGGTACGAAATATCCAATTTAATTTAGCAATTCTGTTAGATACATGTTCTATGTGAGAATACCATGACAATTTCTGGTCTATTATTACACCTAAATATTGTGTATATGTTACTTTATTTATAAATGGACAGTTATTATTAAAGGCGCAGTTATTTATGTTGTTACACGTATGAATCCTTATATTGAAATCTTCCGAGGGTTGCGTGCGTTTAGATATACTGAAACAGATATAATTAGTTTTTGCTGCATTAAGGGTCAGTAAATTCAAATTTAACCATTTTGCCACCTGGGCCATCCCAAATTCTGCCCTTTCCTTAACTTCTTGCCAGGATTTACCTTTAAAGATAACTGCTGTATCATCAGCATACGAAATTATTTGTGCTTTTTCTATTTTTAAGTTGCACAAATCGTTTATGTAAAGCAGAAACAAGGAAGGCCCCAATATACTGCCCTGTGGCACACCATATGATATAGTTGCGTCGTCACTAATAAACTGGTCAACTTTTACACATTGATTTCTATTGGAGAGGTAGTCTCTAAAAAGTTTAAGGGCAGTACCTCTTACTCCGACTTTTTCCAGTTTATATAAGAGTAGGGGGACAGAAACCGTGTCAAACGCTTTCATGAGATCTAAGTACACAGTTAAGCATTTTTGACCTTTATCTAAGTCATCAACCACCAATGATGTCATACGAGCAACTGCATCCTCACTAGATTTGCCATGCCTAAAACCAAACTGATAAGGAGATAATATATTAAAAGAATTTAAATAATTAAGAAGTCGAATATTAATTAATTTTTCAAGTATTTTTGATATAGCTGGTAATATTGATATGGGCCTATAATTACTGATGTTGCCTCTGTCCCCTCCCTTAAATATTGGTACAATAGAAGATTTTTTTTAGTTTCTCCGGGAAAACGCCTTTTTCAAAACATAGGTTAGTGAGGTGGGTGAAAATTGGTATCAGTTCGTTCTTGGCATACTTTAAAAATCTAGTGGAGATCCCGTCCCAACCAGGGGCACTATCAGTCTTTAAATTCATTAATATGCTCTCCACCTCACCTGTGTCCGTATTTAATAGTACAAAGGAATTAGACTGTGTAGGCAAGTTATGATGTTGTATGTTATGGCCGCTTGAATTTAGTTGTTGTGCTAATTTTTTACCAATATTGACAAAGTATTCATTAATATAGTTGATTGATTGCAATGGTGATGATTTTATATTTAATAACTCTGTATTTTGATCCTTAGATTTATTGCAGTATGTTATGTTTTTAATATTCTTCCAAAGTAATTTATTATTTGAAACCGATTTTGCAAGTAATTCTCGTTCATATTTACGCTTTAGATGTTTTAAAAGATTATTACAGTAATTCCTATACCTTTTATACGTTATCTTAAGTATTTCATCGTGTGGGTCTTTTCTTGCTTGTTTTTGTAAATTATTTCGATTTTTAATGCAACGTAAAATACCAGTTGTTATCCAAGGTTTTATGACCCGTTTGTTGCTAGGAATAACTCTAATTTCAGTACACGTTTTCAATGAATCAGTTATTCGTTGTATAAGTTGACTTATTAATAAATTTGGATCCTCACAAAACAGTAATTCTTGCAAATTTTGGTCACGTAGATGCTTAAGAGCTTTTTCAAAATCTATAGAATTCTTTGTTTTATTTATTCTTATATTGCTCTTTAACTTAGATAATGATAAAAATGTAGTAAAATGATCTGTGATAGATGTTTGTATAATTGCTATAAAAGCTGATACTTTCTTTCTATTAATTTTTAACATAAAATGATCCAAGCAATTTTTTTCTCTGGTGGGTAAACAATGTCCAGGAAGTATACCATGTGTTGAAAGCATATTTAGGTAGTTTGCCCTATTTTTAAACTCATTAGGAAGTTCTACAGATTTTGTTTTTATATTAATATTAATATCTCCTGCAATTATAACGTTATTCTGGGTATTTAATGTACTTAAGTGGGTATCAAGTGAATCAATAAAAATATCAGTGTTAGTGTTAGATGGAGAACGATATATACATAATATGGTATTATTGAGTAGATCTAGCTGTAGACAAGAAGCCTGTGATATTTGTATTTCCTTAACTTTAGGTTGTAACGTATTTTTGACATAAACCACTACTCCATCATTTTGATTCACCTGATATTTTGTAGCATAAGAGCAATAGTTATTAAGTTGGGGAATAGGTTTATTTACATTTAATCGACATTCAGTTAAAATTATTATATCTGTGTCAAATGTTAGGCTAGAATATGTAATTAAAAAAATCATCAAAAAAATCATCATTCAAAAAAAAAAATCAAAAAATATGAATCAAACAATTTTAGAATGAACATAGAGCGAAGGGGACGGAATACTGGACTACTGGAGGATCGTATTTTAGGGTTTGACGCATATTGTGCACTTCTCAAATTAAGTGTGAATTTTATCAAAATTTATCAAGATAAAAACAGACTGCAAACACTATGCTTTTTATTATTTTATAACGGTATCAGTAGTTTCTTTGTGACTGTTATAAAATTCACACACATTTTGAGAAGTTCACATTTTTCGAAATGCACAATCTGCGTCAAGTTGACAATTTGCGGAGCGCAATCTGCGTCAAACCCGTATTTTACACATCATCCAGCGTTTCATGTAGAAAGCATTTCTTGTGTATGATAATCACGCCAGCATTTACCGATACACAAAAGCACTCGACATTTTGAGCACTTTACATTGCTCTCTGTCCGCTTTTTATTTGCGAGAGCCGGGCATCGCACACAGCGTCCCCTTTCATAGCGAACACGACCTTTCGATATGCGATCATCAATTTCTTCGTGTTCTGGAAAGTGTTCAATTCCATCCAACCTTTCCCCTCTTGAAAGTTGTATGGCAGGTCTGATGCGGGTTGTAAGAATATGTCGCCGCGACAACGCTTTAGCTAGGGCATAGCGATATTCTCGATGTGTCAGTTTGCGCGAGTGATCTTGGGAGTTTGAGCGATATATTATAAAAGTGTTCAGAATACTAATATTTAGTAGTCTTATGAAATCCTTAACGTACCACTTTAGGTCCCTTTTCCGTTCCAATAAGTACATGGATAGTTTCTGGTCTTTCAAGTCGACCCCACCCATGTACTTATTGTAACTATGGACCACAAGCGGTTTATTGCACGCTACACCTGCTCGTTGCCCTGGTGCCGTATCAGCATTATGATAAGTAGATATCATAGACACTAATTTGACGTCCTTCCACGACAAGACAGTAATTTTTGAGCAATGTCTAGCGACTATTTCATCCTTCTTTATTCGTCGTTCAACTAGAGCTTTTATGTCAGGAGGAGTGTCTTTTCGCCGCCGATTTAGCGTACCAAGTACATCAGTACCACATTGCTCTTTTAAAAATCGAGTAAGAGTCACACTATTATAGAAATTATCCATAACAAGACAGTGTCCTTTATGAAAATACTCATTCATTAGCTGTATAACGATCTTACTCGATGCTCCTGTAAATCCATGTATTGCTTGGTTTTCTGAGTTTGTACCTTTCTTTCCGGAATAAATGGCCATTGTCAATAAATATCCTGTTCGCTTCGCACAGCTCGTAGCTCTTGATGCCGAATCGTGCTGCTTTGGAACGGATACATTGTATCCAGCTTAACCTCCCTTTCCAAAGCAGCAGCGATTCATCAAAAATTTGAGGAATTGGAGGCAAATCTCAGCCATGGTTTGGTCGCTCCTGTAAAATAGCATCATGCTATAAGCAGGAGTGCTACCGAGCCTGGGCTGACGCATCAGCGTCCAGGGATGTAAACACCAGCGCTCTAAAAAAGAAGTATAATTCCGCCTCTAGGTCCTTCAAAAGAGTCATTGCCAAGGCAAAGTCAGAGCACATAGGCAGAATTGGCGAGAGACTAGCTCGTCTTCCTTCTGGAACCCGTGCATTCTGGTCTCTCGCCAAGGCTGTCCAGGGGAATTTCTGTCAGCCATCTCTTCCATCTCTGCACAGGGAGGACGACTCACTGGCCCACACCGCAAAGGAGAAAGCCGATCTTCTAGGCTCTTTCTTTGCGTCTAACTCGACTCTCGATGACGGGGGGAGTACGCCGCCGACCATCCCGCGGTGTGAGTGCTCCATGCCGGAAGTGCAGTTCACTCAGCGCTCGGTTCGCAAAGCACTCCTCTCCCTGGACATCCATAAGTCGAGTGGGCCTGATGGAATCCTCCCAATTGTGCTGAGGAGGTGTGCTCCAGAGTTGGCACCGGTTTTAACGCGTCTTTTCCGGTACTCCTACTCCCTAGGCGTAGTCCCAAAATCATGGAAGACGGCTTTCGTCCACCCGATCCCTAAAAAAAGGCGACCGCTCAGACCCGTCCAACTACCGGCCTATCGCCATCACCTCCTTGTTCTCCAAAACAATGGAGTCCATTGTAAACTGCCAGCTCATGAGGTACCTTGAGGATCACCAGCTGATTAGTGACCGCCAATACGGTTTTCGCCGTGGTAGGTCAGCTGGTGATCTTCTGGTCTACCTAACTCACAGATGGGCGGAGGCAGTAGAGTCCAAGGGGGAGGCATTGGCCGTTAGTTTGGACATTGCGAAGGCCTTCGATCGGGTTTGGCACAAAGCGCTTCTTTCGAAGCTCCCTTCCTATGGGCTTCCCGAGAAATTGTGCGATTGGATCACCAGTTTTCTTGCAGATCGGAGCATCAAGGTCGTTGTAGACGGTGCAAGCTCCGATTGCAAGCTTATTATTGCTGGTGTTCCACAGGGCTGCGTGCTATCGCCAACGCTGTTTCTTCTGCATATCAATGATATGTTGCAAACCCGTAGCATTCATTGCTATGCAGATGACAGCACTGGTGATGCTCTTTACACCGGCCGAGCTAATATTTCTCGGGAAAACGTCTCTGAGTGCCGGGACAAACTTGTGTCTGAAGTCGAGTCTCTGCTGGACAGAGTCTCGGATTGGGGGCGACTAAATCTAGTCCAGTTTAACCCCCAGAAGACACAAGTTTGCGCGTTAACCGCTAAAAAGAACCCCTTTGTCGTATCCCCTCAGTTTCAAGGCACTCCCCTTGTTGCCTCAGCCAGTATCGGAATCCTCGGCGTCGACATATCGAGTGGCGTGCAGTTTCGTGGTCACTTGGAAGGGAAGGCCAAATTGGCCTCTAAAAAGCTTGGCGTGTTCAGCAGAGCGGGACAGTATTTCATGCCGGCACACCGCCTGCAACTTTACAAGGCGCAGGTTCGGCCGCTCATGGAATACTGTTCCCATCTCTGGGCTGGGGCTCCCCAGTACCAGCTCCTTCCACTTGACCGCATCCAGCGCAGAGCGGCTCGAATCGTCGACGACCGAGTGCTTTCCGATCGGCTCGATTCACTGGCGCTGCGAAGAGATGTTGCATCTCTTTGCGTATTTTATCGCATCTATCACGGGGAGTGCTCTGAGGAATTGTTCGGATTAATCCCAGCCGCCAAATTTCGTGAACGCACTACGCGGCAAACGTCCCGATACCATCCACACCATCTGGATGCTTGGCGGTCCACCACTGTACGTTTCAAAAGGAGTTTTCTTCCGCGTACAACCTCTCTGTGGAATAATTTACCACCGGTGATTTTTCCGGACCGATACGACCTGGGGACCTTCAAGAAAAGAGCTTACTCCTTTCTAAAGGGCCGGCAACGCACCTGCAATTCCCCTGGTGTTGCGGTTGATTATGGGCGGCGGTAGTCACTTAACATCAGGTGAGCCACATGCTCGTTTGCCCCCTCTTCTATAAAAAAAAAAGGTAAAGTACATATCTACCAGTACATATATGCGGTTAGTGAAACCTACAGGCGGCCTAGGTGGAGCAGATTCTAATAAGAAATTCGCTTCATCAATACTTCGACTAGGCTCATGGACCATTTCATGCTCAATTGTTGAAGGCGGAATAGAAATTTTGCCTTGAACATCATACTGAAAAGAAAAAGAACTATTATAAATTGTCAAGATTCTTGTTATTAATATACTATGTACAGTACATGTATCGAAATTTAATAAGTACATACAACAGAGGACCTAGGTACATTCTCGGATAGCTCTTCATTAAATGCAGCACCATCTGGCAATTTAAATGGCAATAACCTTCCTGATTCTGTCCTTTTCAAAATAACTCTGTCATTTGACAGCACTTTTATTCTTCCACTGGGAGATTTTTCAACTATGAGTGCTGTATTAAGATTATCTTCATATGGTGGATTATTGTTAGAATTATTGTCTTTTGATTGCATCTACAACAAAACAAAAACTAGGTATCAATAATTACCTGCAGCATATGTTTTCGGTTTTGATATCAAAATACACTTCTTTACGTTAGAACTTGGTAAATACTAACATGAAAACTAGGCATGTAGGTGCGTAGACTATCCCATACTCAAAACGATTGGAAAAATAATCACACAAGATATTGTTACATATTTATGTTATAAGTTGCAATCATCTTTTTCAATCATTTCTATAATTGTGCTTGATTGTGTTTTTTTTATATAAAGATAATTAATATAAATTATGCACAAAAGTCGCACTCATCACTTGTGAAGTGATCGTAAACGGCGAAATTACAATATTTACACCAAAACCAACTGATGCTTATCAATCGTCGTATATTTTGAATACTGTCAGTATTCAGGGTAAAATGAGGTGATGCATAAATGTTGGGCTTCATATTGCACACGAAACATTTACTTTGCTTGATATAATGAGTTATGCTCCATGGCCATTTGCATTCAGATGATGATCAACATCCATAATAACTACCATGTTCCTATAACAAATCAACAAAGCCAATTATTTTGCAGATACGAATGTGTCAGTAGGTATATTGTGCTTTTTTTATAAATGTTTACCATAGTTAAATAACATTATTGTTAATTAACATAAATAAACAACATTTTTGAACACCAGGTAGAAACGATTTTTGTAGGGGATTTGCTAGTCAGTAAATATAAAAACTAATTGCCGACACTGTAAATGTTTTGTGAACTATAATGAAATATTCCAATCACGAGTTAAACTGTTGAACAATTTGATGTATTTTTTTTTTTTTTTTTATAGAATAGGGTGACAAACGAGCACACAGTCCACCTGATGGTAAGTGGTTGCTGCGGCCCATAGACATCTACATCTATCCTCCATTAAAAATCAAAATGCAGATGCGGTGTCACCCGTGAGGACTGAGATGGAATGCCTCGTTTCCAGTAAAAAGGGTCTCCGGTTCTCTACACTCACCATACGAAATACAGCAGCATTAAGCTACTATTTCACGCTGGTATTCTGTGAGAGCGTGGTCCTTCCCCGGTCGAGCCGACCCATTCGTGCTATAACTATACTACTAATATAACTGCAGCATGGCTCTACCACGTACAAATATATATAACATAAATCATAAATTTTAGTGACAAATCGTCAGTTTAACTTTACTCAACCTTCGTAGTTTGTAGGTATCTATTGTCTTCTGTAAAATTTATCAAAATCTTTAGTATTTGATACATCTTTATATAGTATATTAGGACTAACAAAAACAAAAATAAACACGTAAATACTTACTTTAACACGAAAAAACACTTCCGTAAATCACGACACTTTCACTCGTTATTTTGAACTAAAACTGAACTAACTTCACAGATAAAAAATTCTTTTCGATTGGTTCATTCGGTCGTAATCTCATTCATATGGGTTCTAAGTGATTCAAACTCTCGGTCAAACGTACAAAATTCATTTTTCGATGTCACGTAATTACGCGTAGATATACGCTCTGGCAGACAACTGACTTATTTTGAGCGTTGATCTACGTTCCGGCACACGAGGGTTTAACGCGCATGGCCTCCCCAGTTGGTTGAATACTCAAAGATGTGACCGAAACCTCAGGGTGGAAAACTATTCTAGTATATATTATAATCATGGGCTGGGAAAGTACAGACAGAACAGGCCGGTGACGAGATACGATGCAAATTCAGTTAGTCACACTCCCCAAGGTTTCAACGAGTCTGGCAGGTGTTTGTTGGTTACCTCTGAGCATTTCTATGTTTTAAGTCAGGCGCCGGGGTTACTAAAGATGAACCGTACCTACATCATATGTACCCCATGTAAAAGCAGTTTCGTACGGTATGTAAGTGTAGAGAACCAGACCTTATTTACAGAAAACGAGGCATTCCATCTTAGTCCTCATGGGTGACAACAAGGAATCTGCATTTTGATTCGTAATCGAGGATAGATATAGATGTAGATTTCTGTGGGCCACGGCATTCACTTACCATCAGGTTGACTGCGTGCTCGTTTGTCACCCTTATATAAAAAAATATTGTTCTTATGGCTCTCTTCTGGCAAACAAAGATAGTTTTGCCATATTACGCTATGGAACCTGTTTCCCCCACACATGTAAGTCGACAAACAAAATTTTAATATCTTACGTCGAAAAATAAAGTTTCCATTTCATATGACAGTCGCATATTTCATAGCTACAAAGCTATATATAGATTCTTGCAAGTCTTTCTACTTACCTAGTACCTTTTTTGAAGTTTGAGCGCCAAGTTCAAGAAGAGAGGGATTGTGAATCCCTAGTACCACTTTATCGAAATACCATAACATAGAAAAACTCCAGTTTATTTACAACTTGTTTATTTCAGACATACACTTGTATATCCCAGAAGTTTGTTCATGTCCGATCACTTACGCTAATTTCATTCCTAACTCAATGGAAGAAACATCAAGGTCGTACAAAATACATGATTCTGATTCCTTGTTTTAATATTACCAAATTAAAATACAAATCTACAACATTTCTTCAATGAGATCCAGAACACATAACCAAGTGTACGGCTGGACACCACGGTGCACACACACAATCACGCACACAAACGACGATGCAACCACTCGCCGGCTCAGACGGGACAGATAAATCTAATTTAAGCTCTGTATCGTAAGTAAATATAACTAAGAATTCAGTTCAAATGGTTGATATAATGTCAAAATTGAAACTAATCAGCAATAATACTCAAGTGAATCTATAAATCCATACTATATTATATTAAATTTATGCAAGGGCCGCGCTGTAGGCGGCCCACGTCACAGACGACGTATATTTTATCCTTAAAAAATCTTAAAAAGATTATTCTCTTAAATTAAATGTGGAATGGAATGTCGCGCCCCCGCGCGGTGAATGAGACGGGCGCGGGAACGCGCATGACCGGTGACTTAACCTGCAACAAGTTCAAGTACAAACTCATATTGACAATTGTATATATATTGTAAAATTAAAAGGTCAACATTATTTACAAGATTTTTTTTTGAATACGAATGACAAATGGGCACACAGTTCATCATCACAGTAAGCTAAAGATGTAAACCGAATAGACACGCACTTCAATCATTGTTCAGGTACCAAAATACAAAATGCATTGTCTGTCAATGTCAATTGCTCTGGTCTCGTCGCCAAATGCAACAAAAGAATTACCGCTGCATTTTGAGCTAGGATTCTGTGCAAACAGGGTCCTTTTTCAAAGGAGCCGTCCCATTCATACTGCGGACAGTATGCAACAGTGTTACTCTACCATATGTAGTTACAACTGCTTTTATTTTTAGTTATGCTTAGCAAGTAATTTTAAATTCCCTTGAAATATTATTATTATTATTATTTGTGGATTCAAAATACATAAAAATGAAACAGCAGTGTCTTAAGAGGAATTCAGACATCTCGTCCAATGTGTATTCATAAATCCACTCGGGGAAATGTAAAGGATTTCCTTTCGTCTTCATGATCCAGGTTTTGTGGAATTTTAGTACAGTGAAATCTGCCACCTAAGCAACATTACAATCACAAACCCTTCAAAAAGAAAAGGGCGCGAACATATGAGTGAGAGACTAGGCTTTTCTTACGTCAAACCATTGTAATTTTCTATTATGGGATACAAAATCTATGCCATGCAGTGGAATCTTGAGATAATCCACAGTTCCATATCATAACCTCGAGTGTCGAAAGAGGAAACAGAGGGAAATGAAACATGGGCAGCTGCTCCTCCCTGACAACACAAAATAGTAAGCTGCCATTGGCAACCTGCTTTGCAAATATCCTCCCTGAGGAAATCAAAGGTAATGGACTTTTATAGAGGTTTAATGAATGGAAAAAATTGAGGTCCTAATAATATTTTTAGATCCATTAGGATTGTTTTAAAGAATTAGTCTATGGTAGTAAAGTATAGTAATGCCTTTTTCTCTTTCTCAGTTATTACTACCCTCACAGCCCTGTGGTAATAAATGGAAACTCTAGGGTTGGAGCAGTGGCAGTAATTGAAAATAACTAGTCCCCAAAAACAGAATAAGGTGTAATTTTCATTTTGCTACTTTCAGAACCCCCTAATATGATTGGGCAACCTTTCCCCATCAATTTCACAGAAAAGGTATGACCATGCTTTACAGTGGGTCTTTCACATAAAACTATTTATTACTTTACTAAACCTGTCGGTATTATAACAGCAGCTATAGGAAATGCCAGGAAAGTCTTATGGCCTTTGATATCATCATCATTACTTTAAGCCACATGAGACGGGGCACGGCGTGTCATTAAACTGGCACTGCAATCAAAAATCCCCTTGTCAAATGTGTAACAAAGGAGCACATGTCCAGCAGTGTACAGGCTGATGAAAAAGAAGAAGAAGCCTCACCTTACTATTGGACTGAGATGACTATGGACAGGTACGAGTTTGTGTTTAGTAGGGCTGGTGCCTCTGGTTGGCGCGGGCTCCGCCTGCCCCACGCTGCTTGCCGCCTTGGTATCCCGCTGTAAACCATTTCATAAACTGCCTAAATGTAACTAAGACCTACCTAAATCTAACACACAACACTCGTGAATACAAAATTATATGGAGTATGAAATTACTATTCAAGTGTGAAGTTAGTGAAGCTAGTGTCACTTTGCAATAATGAAATAAATGCAGCATCAATCGCTTCCTATTGTAAATTTTTTTAAATATCCATGCATGTAACATATTAAAAGTAATATGTTGAATAATAAGGAATTAAAAAGAGAAATTAGACGAATCTACAAAAAGCAAGCACATTTAAAATAAAAATTTGGCTGTTATTCAATAGACAAGTTGCTTATTGAGTAGTCTACTAAGTAAAAATTTCAAGTAAATTATTTAATCTTTAGTATCAAAAACTAATTCTATGCCTAGTTAATGAAAGACAGGCAGATCTACAAAGCAGGCAAACAGTATAAATATGATAGTGATTACTAAGACCTGCAACATTTTGATGGAATTTCTAAACTTTTATTATATTTTAAAAAATTACTATTTTGTTATAGTTTTAAATTACATATTAATTCATTAGAAAAAATAAGTCCTAGTAAACTGCCTGAATAATTTCCTGTGTTAATATACGAATTTACAGCTGGGTTACTTCTTCATGAAATTACCGCCAAACCAGTCGTTTGATATTAAGGCCTCTTCTTCTCACACAACAAAATAAAGATTCCAAACACTGCACCACCAGCTCAAATTCCAGAATTGCATTATGCTTAATGCCATGTCTCCACGAAAATCCATCAAAACGTTAGAGGGAGAGAAATAATGACGAAAAGTGGAACTAAGTAGTGGGTGGGTAGAGGACGGCAGTACCTTTCCCGCGTGGAGCCGCGCGTGCGCCGTAGCCGCCCTCGTACCCTCCGTACCCGCCGTAGTCTGCCCGCAACACAAAGCCATTAATCCACAAGGCTACACAAGCTTTCCGGGCTGCTCGCTTTTTTCGACCCCGCCTCATTGACAAGGCGCATATTCGTTTCGCAAGCCAATTTTTCTACCATATTTCTCGTGCATTTCTTTGTAATTTTTTATAGGAAAGATTCCCTTGAAATAACAAGGCGCTTGGCTTGCCAAACAAATGTCGCGCCTGGCGTATTTTTCTATAGTTATCTACGGTTTTATTTTTTGAGGCTAGGTTGCCCAATTGCTTTTGCTTTATACAGGTATTTGCAAAAATACACCTTCTTAGTAAGGTATTGGTACTTTTTTGAGTAGTCTATGTATAAGAGACTTACTTATTAGACAACTATCTTGAGATTTCTCCATTTTAATTCACTGTTTTAATGTATGAATAAATACCATAGGTTTTAACATTATTGAAAACTTTTAAATACATGACCTTTAAAAGTTATTAGTTTTAAATCTTCATGTTCATATATTAAAATGGGTTTTATGAGTAAACAATAGTGTAACTGTACCCAGAACATGCAAGTTAGTGAGTTGAGGCACGCAGAGTAGATCTGCGGCCGAAAAGCGTGTAAGGTGTGTAGCAATGTGTGCGGGAAGTGGAGTGGGATGAAATATATGGAAACACATTGAGATTTTTGTAACAGTGCTTTATTCAAAAGCTTCATCATATCTTTATCACTTTCACAATGTCTCTCCATATATTACCCCAATTTCCCAAATGTAGCATGTGGCGAGAGTTAATAGGTAAAATAAAAATACCAAAAACAAATAAAACTCGAGCGACAATGCTACATATGTCAAAAGTGGTATTACAAATAAACACTTATAAAACGTAAGGCAGATAACATATGTACAGAACACAGTACCCAGTGAAACAATGATAAAGAGTGATCAAGAGCTGCGTGGGCACTTGCTACTATTGATAACAGAAGGGTAATTTGGCTACAAGTGGAGAGACTAACTAGACATCAGGTGGTGTCGCCTGCGGTAACACCAACTAATATCTAGTCACACCCAGCCAACAGCAGACAGTAATGCAAATTAGTGGAAGTAAACCAAATAGCGCAAATTAAAAATGATCTCTCGGGAACAAGTTACGTAAAATGATTAATTCTAATTACTTGAAAAAATGATTAAATAGAACCATTGGTTATATTGTTATATACTGTCTCCTCGACAACATTCACTACACATTATCTCGATAGAATATCCATGTAAATACGTAGTTATAATAGAAAAATAAATATTTTCTACACTAAGTTGTACACCTACGGTCCACGCAATGTCAGTCCGAGTGGAAAAACACATACAAGGTAAATAGGCATCTCAAGGACGGAGGGTCGCCCGTCGTCGCTATACGCTAAACCTAGCCTTATTCTACGTTTACATCCTAATAATCAGGTAACATCAGTCGAGGTAATGTGTCGGTGAGCGGACTAGCATCGGGCCGCCGGCGCACTAGTAGTTCTGCTTGCCGCGTTTACCGTAATTGGGGTAGCCGGAGTAATCATAACCGCCGTATCCGCCGTAGCCGTCGTATCCGTAGCCGCCGTATCCATATCCATCATAGCCGCCGGCGTAGCCTCCTTGCCCGTAACCGTAGCCCCCGTAGCCCTGGTTGCCCCAGGTGCCTTGGCCGCCGTAGCCGCCGCGCCCACCCCGGCCGCCGCGCGCTCCCCTCCCCCCGCGAGCCCCACGCACCCCCATACCCCCAGGACCGTCCGGTTTTGGCGTCGCTCTTTTCACATCAACCTGAACAATCAAAGTTACTTTATAATACATCATGCTTTGTTACTAAACTACCCTGTTCAATTTAGCGTGATACTGTTAACATAAAAACAGTCTTTCTCTAACATTTCCAACATTGCTAGTATTTGTACCAAGATGGATATTACAAAAACATTACATTAACCACTATCTTATTACATTACTTCAAAAATATATGTATATGATAATGCACTCATAGCTAGCGACATAGGAGAGTAAGATCTTATGAACTTTTTCTCTGATTTCTTTTAAATATCATGTAAGAACTTAGAAAATAAAAATACAACAAACATACTAACTAGATTAACTAGTTAGTATAATTCCTCTAGTGTTTTTAAATACAAGATGAAATTAGTTTGACATATTTTAAGGTTCTACAAATTATGTACTTTATATTCGGAAATGCTTCTATTAATTTGCACACCTGTATAAGGCAGCCATTTTATGGTTTGTTAACACAGCATCTGATAAAATCAAGAGTTAAAATGTTAGCTCATGAACATGCACAATTCCCCATTTAAAATCAATTTCATTTAATTTTCTTAGTTACCATAAATTATTGCATGTAGTTTTATTAGGTTTAGACTCATATGAACTAATTTTTTCTTATTACATAGACTATCATGGTAATATGAATTTGAATTGAAAAGATAAAATTTTTAGGGATACAAAACTATAAAGGTGTAGACTTCAGATTACTACACTTCTGTCATGTATGCTGATATAGCAATGCTGGAATGTGTATATAAATATTTGTGAATATAAATAAAAACCAATTAGAAAAAAATATTAACCTCTTTGCCTGCTATTGTCTGCTTGGGAGTCTTGAGGAGTTCATTCACAACCTGTTCAGACTCAAATGTGATGAAGCAGAATCCTTTTCTTTGGTTTTTTGTCTTGTCAAAAGGCATTTCGACTTCAATGATCTGAAAATTGAGAAGTACATGTGAAGTTAGCAATAAATTAATTAATTGAAAAAAAAGGGATTTGAATGGCATTAATCAGTGGCCCGGATTTCTCTTCAAAAACAATCTAGATAAATATTATCTCACCAAAACCGGAGTTGTCATCATATTAAAATAATTGATTGGTTAGTTTCTCATTATGAGTAACTCGGTATTAGATTTATCATCAAAGTAAAATATAGAAAATGAAGCTCAAAATAATACTTACTGTGCCAAAATTACCGAAAAAGTTCTTTATTTCATCGTCTGAGATTTCACTGCTTAGACCTCCAACAAATATCTTCCCATGTCTCGCTTTTGCCTTCTTTGGGTCAACTTTTTTGTTGTTGATTGTGTGATCACCAGCAGCCATAACCTTATCTATTGAATCTGATGCTTTAAAAACAATAAAGGCGAATCCTCTTGATCGTCCAGTGTTAGGATCTGTTTTGACATTGATGCTCTCAATTTCACCATATGCACTGAAGTGGTCACGTAATTCCTCTGCAGAAAGATAAACAACTTCAGCAATTGTAATTTTACACAAATTTTGTTACATGAAGAGATATATCATCAGTAATGTGGGTATAGTCTTCTTCAATAAAATATCAGAAGCAGAACTGAAATATTCATCATTAACATAATCTGTATGAAAACAAAACTATGCTTATTAGGGCTCTAATATCTATATTTTAAAACAATTTTAATGTAAATTTTATAATTAAGGGTATGTAGATTGTAAGAAAAGCCATTAAATAAAAACAACTTACTGTCTGTTGTTTCCCAGCTTAGGCCTCCCACAAAAAGTTTTCTGTAAGTTTATGAAACAAAAGTTAAAATTTTTGAATTTTATACAAAATTTTGTCTCGAATTAGAAACTTTAGACTTAAAAATTACAATTTAGGATTAACAACTATATGCAGTACTTGTTTACAGTACTTTACAGCTACTTTTTTTTTGTTAAAAAACAAACTCCAAGCACTGCAGCAAAACAAAATCAGAACCTGTAAGTATTACAAAAAGGAAAACTGGAAACTTTTTAACATTAATTAAGACAACGAGATATTACAACAAGAATGTTACAGTGATATCGCAAGACTTGAAATTGGCAAGTGTGAATGAGGCCCAAAATTAAGTGGCCGAACCAATAACTGGTCAGTTTGGTCGTTGTTTTACTTTTTAAAGTGTGAGCCCAGCAGATATATACCATGACGTCCTCCGGCGGCAGCTGCGGCGGCGGCGCAGGCTCACACCTGCAGAGAGACAGCTTGTTAGTAGCGCTCCAAACTGACGCGCACGGGCAAGGGCGACGACCCCGTACCGCGCCCCAAGGTCTCGAGCCACACTTACGCACTACCACCGATTTAAAATCTTGCAAAAAAAGTACTCAAAGACGCTAAAGAACGGTCTCACGCTTGTTCATTGGCCGTAACATTCGGAAAAAAAAACTAAGATAACGGAACCGGTGCGAAAATCGATAACGGGACCGCGCCGGTGCCGGGTGCAAGAGACGCGCGATAGACGCCATTTTAACTTCATGCGGCTACAAATTAATTTTAGAAAATTAAAGCTGAAGATTAAGTCTGAAATGAAAACTATGACAACAAAGATTAAATTTTATTCGCGAAGAACCAACTGCAAAGGTAAAACCATTAAATTTAGAAAAGACATCGACGATTGAAATAGATTAGAATGCCGATTAATAATAATGCCGGACCGCCGACGCCATTGCGAGAGACAAATGATGGTACTGCAAAAGCACATTTTGGCAAACTAATAATTTACATTACAGTAAGCTAATAGTTCATTACGTAGAAATAACGTCAAGATGTTTATTTGAAACTAGTATTGAAACAAAGAAGCCAACTTTACCTGTCGTCATCGCGTCCCGACGTTTCTGCACTATTATTTTCTTGGTTATCACCTCCACCATTTTCTACGTTTCCATTCACTTGGCTTTCTGTAACATCTTGCGCGAAATTGTCGTTATTGGCCATGACGGACTTAGTATAGCTAAATTAATAATAAACTAATAACTAAGGTCTACACACGACCTTCAACACTGAATGCCAAACGCAGAAGAATGAGAGGAAACCTGTGATGAGTCGGCGCGAAATACTTTTGTAATGTTGGCTATCGGCAAAGAGACGCGCTCTTTGGAAGCCTTTTCCTCCCTTCTACTTTAGATAGCCAATGAACGGCAAGAAGTGTACAGAGTTCAATGGCATTCTTTTGGTATCAACAAGGATAGATTATAGTTTTTATAGTAAGTGAAAAAGAGAGAACAAATAAGACACCAATCAATACTATGGCCAACATTATGACGTTAGTTTGCCGCCATTTCTTTTTAGTAATCAAAAATTTAAACATGCTGCGATCAAAATAACACCAGCGCTGTCAAAATTATAATGCCAAAATTGTATATAAATCTTTTGTTTAAATTATTATAGATGATCATTTGATTTTCAGATTCTAAAGTAACATTGTTTTTAATTTTTAACGTATACGTTTAGTTATAAGTTAAAATGCACTCTTCCTCCTTTTTTAATAAATCTTTTACTGTCACTGCTGTGCGTTTGTGGAACTCTTTGCCTCTGCACATTCGTCTTACTAAATCTCTTCACTCTTTCGAAAGTCTTTTTAAATCGTATTAGGTACTTAGAACGCTATTAGATAAATTACTTTTTCTTTTCGTACACTTTTCATTAAATCTACTATAGCATACCATTTTCAATTATATCTTATTTATACGTTTTTTCATATTTTAACGCTCATAACGCTCCCCCTCTATTAAAACCTTTATTTGTATCAGTTTACTACGCAAATGTTGTCTAAAAGAAATCTCTTTCAGAGTGATAAGTCCTCCTGTTGTATATACATTAGGTTCAACTCTACTCGTTTTTATTATTTATATTTACTTATTTTAATTGACACAAAGTAAGGATTACATTATTTATCTTTAAGAAATTTGAACAAATGGTATGAGTTATAACTTATCTATACACTTTTATACACTAGCGTCTAAACTAGGCCGAGCTTGTATCTTAGACACCAGTCACTTCCAAAGGCACCATTATTTACAGTTATAAAAGTATACAACATATTATGATTCACCTAATCTATGTATTACGTTACAAGTTCGTAAATACATTACCACTTTTTTGCGATTACCGTCACACTAACTTATTATACGTATGAAAGGTTACACTACTATTTGTAGCAACATTTTTAATTTCTTAATTTATAATGCAATAAATGATTATTGTTATCACAAGTCAGATAACTGTTTATTTTGGTGATAGGTTACAATGAAGTATTGCAATGATATATGATATATAACTTTAGTAATTCTACAGGTATTTAACAAAAAGTTATGCAATGTACAGTGAACAGTCAATACATATTATATAATTATTGAATTCATGGTTTTTGCAGAGGTTTTTTTTTTAATTGCATTTAGACTTAATTAAATATAATTTTATAAATAGCTATATAAGTGAAATAATTTGTAATTATTATAGATAAAGTACTAGTAGATAGTTGAATTATTCTAATGTAATATTATTTTAAAGTGACCAAGAAATTTTCAGTTTCTTCTGTATTTAGAGTTTATAACCAAGATAATCAATCGACCGAGAGGTCAATCGACGGATTCAACTCGGCTGGGCAGCGTTCGGGAAAATACGACATATCCTCTCGTCAGGTATACCTCAATCTCTAAAAACTAGATTGTACAACCAGTGCGTGTTGCCAGTGATGACTTACGGATCTGAGACGTGGTCCTTCACTGCTGGCCGTATGAGGACGCTCAAGGTCGCTCAGCGAGCTATGGAGAGGGCTATGCTCGGAGTTTCTCTGCGTGATAGACTCAGAAATGAGGATATCCGCAGTAAAACCAGGGTGACCGACATAGCCCAACGGATTAGTAGCTCGAAGAACCGATCACCGATGGGGAAGAAAGGTTCTCGAGTGGCAGCCTCGTACTAGTAGGCGTAGTGTAGGGCGACCCCCACTAGATGGAGTGACGACCTGGTAAGATATGCAGGAAGTCGATGGATGCAGGTGGCTCAGGACCGTGCGTTGTGGCATTACTTGGGGGAGGCCTATGTTCAGCAGTGGACTTGTGAAGGGCTGTAATGATGATGACGAACCAAGATAGTAGTAGTTTTTTACATTGATATTTGTTAAGCGAGTAGATTTGTAGAGTTTTATTTATTTTATTGTAAAGCATAGGACCTAAGTAGCATTGAAATTTAGTTATAAAATATGTTTTAAAATGGCAAGTAGGACAGACGTTCTGTCTCCCGGAGAGGCGAAAAGTGGATTGCAGAGGCCCGTCTGGCTACGTTGAATGTATGTGGGGCAATGAATGATAAAATGGATGAAGTATGCGATATGATGTACAATAGAGGAATAGATGTGTTATGTGTAAATGAGACGAAAAGGAAGGGGAAGGATGTCACACATGGCATGTATACCGCATACTAGTCTGGTGTAGACGAAATCGAGCGGGCATGCCAGGGGGTAGGTATCATCTTTTCAGAAAGAATGGGCCAATGTGTGAAAGAGTATGAATGTGTAAGCCCAAGACTGCTATGGATATGAATGAAAGTGGGCTTAAAGAAGTTGTTTGTGTTAGGGGTCTACGCCCCAGACATGTCTTAGCCAACTTATATCCGAGAGCAGTTTCGGGAAATGGTAAGGATGGTGTTAATGAAGTGTAAGGGAAATGAAAATATTATTATGCTAGGAGATTTTAATGGAAGGGTTGGGGTGAGGAGGCTTGGTTATGAAAGGATATTGGGAACGTTTGGTGATGAAAGTATAAATGAGAATGGTGAAAGTCTCCTCACCGTATGTATGGAAAAGAATCCTTTTGTGATGAACACTTGCTTTCGCCACAAGAGGATTCACATGTATACTTGGGAAAGAGGTGACGATAGAAGCATGATAGATTTCATAATTGTGGATGAAAGATTGAGGGGCACAGTGGTAGATACAAGGGTTTACCGGAGTTCCAAAGTAGGAACGGATCATTATTTGGTTTTATGCCGAATTAATGGTCTATTCAGGCGTTGGCGCCATCGATCATCTGTGTCTACCACTGCGTTACAGCGTATTAAAACAGAAAGGTTACAAGATGAGGGTGAGAGAAACAAGTTCAAATGTAGACTGAAAGAAAATATAAGTGGTTTGGATGAATTATGTATGAAGGAATTAGACTTGGAGAATGTATGACAAAATGTAAAGAAAGGTTTAGTGGATGCAGCTACCGAAGTATGTGGTGTTAGTAAGAGGAAGATTGAAAGGAAAAATAATACGTTATGGTGGGATGATGAGATACGTATGGAAGTTGAAGCAAAGAAGAGAGCATGGCTAGATTTACTAGCAACAAAGGCTGGTAATTCTAGCGGTACGAATGATGATATTGAAAGAAAAAAGGCAGTCTTTAAACATCTTAATAAGAGAGTAAAAGAAGTAGTTGAAAGAAAAAAGCAAGAAAGAACGGATAAGAATGATAGAAGAATATCGGATAACTTCCAGGCAAATAAGAAAATGTTCTGGAAACTCGTAAGAACTGCCAGGGGACATTTAAAACAGCCTATGATGAATGTTATAAGAGACGAGAATGGCTATATTCTGAAAGATGAAGTTTTGAGTTTAAAGAGATGGAAAGCATATTTTGAAAGCGTGTTTATGAGTGAGGAGACAACGTGTGTACTAAGTGAAGTAGAAACTCCGAAAGAAGAGGAAAGAGGTAGCGAGATAAGTATAGATGAAATAATGAAAGCAATGAAAAGCATGAAAGCAGGTAAGGCTGCCGGATATAATAGAGTTTCACTCGAAATGCTAAGGGCTGGAGAGGAATTCGTGGCAGGCCTGCTGCACACCTTGTTTAATTTATGCTGGGAACTGAAGCGGGTACCGGTAGACTGGTGCAAAGCCGTGATAGTCCCAGTATATAAAGGAAAAGGGTCGCAGCAGGACTGTAAAAACTACCGTGGCATCAGCCTTCTTAGCATTGTGGGAAAACTGTATGCTAAGGTACTGATTGAAAGGGTCATGAAAGTGACTGATGAAAAAAATTGGGATGTGCAAGCGGGATTCAGAAAGGGAATCGGATGTACAGATCAAGTCTTTTCCATGCGCGTGATCGCGGAGAAGTTTTTGGCCAAAAACCAAAAGGTTTTTTGTGCGTTCATGAACTTGGAAAAAGCCTATGACAGAGTGGATAGGGATGTGCTATGGCAAACACTGAACTCATTTGGGTTGAGCGCTGGCTTGATACAAGCATTGGACTCTCTTTATAGGGACTCTAGTGCTTGTGTTAGGATCAACAGGGTCTACTCGGACTGGTTTGACATCCATAAAGGTGTCAGACAGGGCTGTGTGGCTTCCCCATGGCTGTTCAATCTATTTATGGACAGTTGTTTGCAAAATTTGAAAGTTGAAGAATGTGGATTAAGAATGGGTGAGTTAACCGTCAAATGCCTTTTGTACGCCGATGATCAAGTTATCCTTGCGTCGTCGGCGGCCTAGTTGCAAATGATGGTTACATTAATGAACAGATCATTAAAAGAAAGGGGTATGAAAGTGAACGCAAGTAAGACGAAGGTTATGGTTTTTGAAAGAGAAGAAAGTAAAACGATTTGTGAAATAAGAAAAGAAGGGGAGTTGATCGAGCAAGTAGATGAGTTTGTATATTTGGGCTGCGTATTTAGCAGGGATGTGAGATATGATAAGGATATAGAACGACGAGTGAATGCAGGAAATAGAGTAAATGGGGCCCTGCACTCTATTGTGAAGAGTCAAAATGTGTCAAAAAAGGCACGTATGGCAATTCACAATGCTGTGTTGGTCCCTACTTTAACGTATGGTAGTGAAAGTTGGGTGTGGCAGAAGAAGTACGAGAGTAGAATCAACGCAGTAGAAATGCGGTCATTAAGGAGTATGTTAGGGCTGAATCTGAACGACAGGGTAAGAAATTGTGTAATAA